GCCCAGAGCACAGGACCTCAGATAGTACATTCCTGGTGTTCATGTCACATGGCCTCCTGGATAGACTCTGTGGGAAACAGCACAGCGATGAAAACCCAGACGTGCTACCTTATGACACCATCTTTCGGATATTCAACAATCGCAACTGCCCCAGTCTCAAGGACAAACCTAAGGTCATCATTGTCCAGGCCTGCAGAGGTGGTGAGTTCTGATAAGGAAACTCCAAAGAGCATGAGGTGTTTGCAGTGGATTGTGATGTATGTTTTGCTTTTAGGGGAAACAATCCTATACCACATTCAGTGCAAATAAAGTGAATTGAATTCTTGGGAAATGCCAAGGGGAGTTGGTATCATGAGAGATTATCTTTTCAGCTAATAAATATTTATTCAATTTAATCAAAGGTAAGTGGTGAAGGAGATCTTCAGAATCCCTAAGTCAAAGTTGAACACAAATATCTAAACCTTGGAATAAGATCATTTTAATGACATCTGTACATGTGTTACAGGTGTTTTGCCATTCTCCGACTCGAGAAGAGTGTCATTGGAAAGTGGGGCTGTTCTATAGTAGCAGCACCCTTTTCACCTCATGCGTTTTTGAAAGGGAAGTGAGTAGGGAGATGTGGGCACTTGGGATTGCTGGCAACATTTCCTTTGCTTTTTTCTGAATTCCAATCACCTCATAGCGTTTTGAAGCAGTGTTTGGAAGAAAAAGCAGAAATAGTTTAGCTGAAAAATGGTAACTGGACTCTGAAATTATGCAGATAAGGTTTTAACTCCTTTGCTGTTCTTAGAAAAGGGGTTCTTCCAGTTTGCTGATGCCATCACTATTTGCTGGTAAGATGCTGCCACTATTAATTGGCACTTAAAGACACTAGAGGAGGCCAAGATATGTGGTGGGGCAACGGTTTAGTGTGTTTGTGTGTGTGTGTGTGTGTGTGTGTGTGTGTGTGTGTGTGTGTGTGTGAAATTGGTGAGAAACATTTAAAAAGAATGAGGCAGACAATAGTGACAGTCATACTGATAGAGGCACACAGTTTGCACAGAGTTAATGTCTCCACAGAAAATCGCGGGGAATTGTGGGTCAGTGACTCTCCAGCAGCCGTGACAGACAGCTCTTCCCAGTCACCTGAGAACCTGGAGGACGATGCCGTTTACAAAGCACACGTGGAGAAGGACTTCATTGCTTTCTGCTCCTCAACCCCACGTAGGTCTTTCAGTTACAGACAAGGGTTGTGCGCCTAAGGCCACCTCAGAATGATTCTGGAATATTGAGGTGGGCTCCCTGCATCAGTGATGTAAGACACATTTTGAGGGCTGTCAAAACAATTTACATTTATCTGACCTATTCTATGGAAACAGAGATTCTATATTTTCCACTTTTTAAAACTGTACTTTTATTCTAAGTGCTGCACTTTACGGTCAAAGGTATACCACATACTAAACCTAATACAAGGAACCCCATTCCCCATATACCATTTAAAAATGAAATTTGATTACATTTTCTATCAAATCTGTTTAACATTTTGAATAAAGTTTTAGTAGATCCTGAGACTGCCTGCCATCCTTAAATTATCAGCTCCAACTTCTTTTCTCCATGGTTCTCATTTGATGCTTTTTAGAGGGAGCCATGCATGGCTCAACAGGATGAGGAGATAGATCCTTTAAAAGAGGTAGAAAATTATACCCTGGGGCTTAGCAGGCCTAATAATAGGGATCAGTGTTTAGTCCTTGACGTCTAGGTAGTCATGTTAAGAAGCCTCTAACATTTGAATGTTTCTACTTTGCAAATTTTTGTATTAAGTCCTTTCTATTTGTTACCATTTCATGGACTTATTTTTTTTTTCCTCATCCAAGGAGTGAAGATATTTTTTTCCATTAATTTTAGAGACAGTGGAAAGGAGGGAGAGGGGAGGGAAAGTAAAGGGAGAGAGAGAGAAGCATCCATGTGACAGAGACACATCAATTGGTTGCCTCCCACACGCCCCCTGACCAGGGGGCAGGGAGGTGACCTGTAACCCAGGTGTATGCCCTTGACCAGGAATGGAACCCAAGACCCTCCAGTGAGGAGACCATGGTCTAACTGAGCAACACCGCTCATGGCTCATGGAGGTTTGATTGACATACAAAATGTTGTATATACTTAATGTATATAACATAGTGAGTTGGGATATAATATACACCAGTGAAACTATGACCACAATTTCCTTTGGATTTGTTCACCCACTTCGCTTATAATATTGTGAAAGACAGAATGCTATACACTCTGTAAACTGCCTGGAAGCGAGGGAGCCATTTTTTGTTGCTTACTGTATAAGCGTGGGGGAATTCTTTAATCCTCTGGGAGTCCATTCTTTCCTCTGTAAAATGGGGTAATTTCAGTTATCTCTCAAGCCTCTTTTCAAAACCAAGTGAATGAACATGAAGCACATAGTAAGAGTCAGGTCCAAGAATATAATGCAATCATGAAATTCTCATGAGTTATTCCTTTAGTTAAATCTCTGCCAGTTTTTTTACTTTTTTTCTCCTCTTTTTGGAAAATTAGATAATGTAAAGATATAAGTGTTTCCCCTAAACATATCAAGTTAATTCCAAAGCTATGCTTAAAAAACACAAAAGCTACATTAAAAAAAAATACCTGTGAGAAAAGAAAACATTCAAAGGCACATCCCAAGGCTGACCACTCCTTATCTTCACAGATAACATGTCCTGGAGAGACACTAGTAAAGGTTCTCGCTTCATCACACAACTAATCAGATGCTTCCAAAAGTATTCTTGGTGCTGTCACCTGGAGGAAGTATTTCGGAAGGTAAGCTTTTTTCTTCTTCCTTTTCTAATCGTGTGTGTGTGTGTGTGTGTGTGTGTGTGTGTGTGTGTGTGTGTGGGCGCGCTCGCATGTGCTAGAAGACTTTACTTTTATTCTTATTTCAAATGACAATGACAGGCTTTGTCAGGCAAACAAAAGTAGAGCAGTGCCTGGTTTCCATTATCCATGGATTGACATCTGATTTAGGAACAGTAGATGTCAATGCAAAATTGTACGATGTCAAAATAGAACAAAATAATATAACCTGTAAGGTTATTTGTTATGAGCTATACATTGTTTTTAGTCAAAGATTGGAAAGTATTTTGAGTTGATTTGTATGGCTTACTTTATTGAATAAATATCTATTGGGTGTTATCCTACTTGGTGATTATAGTTATCCTTTTGACACAGGTGTAATTAAGATATTGTGTCATAAGGCTACTCAGGACCCTTTTTGTGAGAGAGATGGATACGAAACAAGTAGGCCAGGAAACACATTTGTCATTACAGATTGTGATAGGCTCCATAACATAAAGGATCTAGGGCACTTGAAAAAAAAAAAAGGGAGAAGGTATTCTTTTAACGGAGTGATCCAGAAAGGAAGACCAAACTCCTTTCCCACCTGAGGAAATTCCTTATCCCCCGCCCTTCCTAATTTCTTTTCCTCCAGGGTTCTGAGCACCACTCATTCGGCATATATTCTGTTTGTTCTTACCTGTACTTACTCACTTGAATGCAACCTTCATGAAGGCAGAAATGTGCTCAACACCTCAATGTGCTGGCACATAGGAATTGATATTCATTCAATAAATCAATGCATGAATATCAATACCTTTCTCCCTTTAGGGTATTAAGAATGTGGGGCAGTTTTATTTTCATTTTTAAAAATATACTTTTATTGATTTGGAAGGGGAATGGAGAGGGGAGAGAGATAGAAACTTCAATGATGAGAGAGAATCATTGATTGGATGCTTCCTGCATGCCCCCCACTGGGGATAAGCCTTGATCGAAATTAAATACAGGATCCTTTAGTTCACAGGCCAATCTATCCACGGAGACAAACCAGCTAGGGCTGTATGGTTGTTTTTAAATTAAAAACTGTAGAGAACAGTAGCACTCTGTGGGCAAAGAGGAACACAGCTTTAGTAAACAGGAGAAGATTGCATTGTAACTTGCATTAGGGTCTCCTTGAATGGGAACTTTGGAAATTAAGTCCTGTTGGATGAATAGGAATTAGACATTGTACTTTAGGGCATTGCTAGGAGAAGTCTAGAAATAGTGTGATCAGTGGGGAGAGGTCCTCATCCCCACCACTTGCTGGTGGGAGTGGGTGTGTTGCAATATCCTGAGAATTTTCTGAGGCTCACATGGGAAGGTGATATGTTATAGAAAGCTTCATTTCTGTGCAATTATACCCCCAAGTTCCCAAGGTCCCATTTCTCTTTGTCCTGCCAAGAAAGAAGTACCATTTTGTTTTCAGCAGATCTGAAATCAAAGCCAGTGTCCAGAGTTTCTGTTCCATGTCTCCATAGTCAAATGGAGCATCAAGCTGGCTGATTTGTGTTTCCAGTTATAGTCCATTGAGTGTGAGGTCCACGTGGCTGTGGGCCATGCAGCTATGGAGACAACAGGGGCAGGAACAAAGCCAGAGGAGCATGAGAGCCAAGAGAGCCACATAGGGAGTGAGCTTCTTATCTGCTGGTTTAGGCATTGCCAAATTGGTGCCAGCTTGCAATGGCCCTGCCTAGTCTAGCCAAAGCCATTGTTCCCCAGGCTTGACTGACAGGCGCTTTCCCTTGTCACCCCAACTCCTTGTGCATGCACTCATCTCCCATTAGTTGGATCTCTTCCCTCAGTGGTCTGCAGGGAATGGGCTGGTGAAATTTCAGCTTCCTAGTGAAGCTGCCCAAATAACATGCCTGAAGTGTCTTGCCTTTCGCCTTGCTTCTGTTCTATCATTAATAACTACCTAATTACAATGGTGTCAATAGAATCTCATTTATCAGTCCATGACAAAATCTTCAGAGGTCAGCTTGTTGGTTAGGATGTGAAAGTTGTTGTGTTCAGGTTTTAGGAACAATATTTGAGTTTGTGTCTTATTGAATTCAGGATTAACCTTGCAGGTTGAAGGTAGAGTATTTTTGAGATCCAGTTCTCATGAATTGACTCCAGGAGATCAGTTAAGATCTGTAGATCTGAAACAGAAAAAGAAAGTGAACTTTGAAAGGCCTTGGGTTAGGCATGAGGTGTTTATTTTGAGATAAAGAGTATATTCTGACATGGGGCTTTACTTCTGAACAGTAGGGTAACAGTGACAGGGAGTTAGAATATCCATTGGCTTGGTCCATTCATTCCCAGAATATTTTGGCTCATGGTGCAAAATGTTTTCTGAGAGTGGATAAGAGTTATGTTTCATCTAGAACCTCTTTTTTTTTAAAAGGTTCAACTATCATTTGAAAAGCCAGATGTTAGAGCCCAGATGCCCACCATTGAACGACTATCCATGTCAAGATATTTCTACCTCTTTCCTGGCAATTGAAAATAGTAAGTATCAAAGCTGTTGGCAGGTATAACAAATGGGAAAGTGATACTGGCGGTGAGGTTCAATGGCTAATGACAGCCAATTGCTTGGGTAGTCAAAGTAATGTTGCTTATGGATGTAGTTTAGTGACTAGATGTTATTGTTTTCCTCTACTTATATGAATCTGGATCCTTCTCATCTTGATAATCAATTAATCAGTCAACCAATCAAGGAGAAAAGCCCAACTAAGACGGGAAATAATAAACAATCAAGGACACAGGGTAGTAATTATTAAAAGATAAATGTACTCATGCTTCCATTATTTCTTGATATTTCTCTCTCACTACACACACACACACACACACACACACAGAGTTACCAAACATTGCCTCAGGTCCTGGAAAGCAAAACAAACAAAAAAACAACAACAACAATAAACAAAACAGAAAACAAAGGAGATGACTGAAGGAAACAGGGTATTGGTCCTTTAAGTGCAGATATCACATTACTGACCTTGAGCTCCTGTTACCAAAACGGAATAAAATATACCCTGGACTGTAATTCTTGTGTTGATGCAGATTCTGGCTTTCTAACTGTTCTCTCAATGTAGATTGCAGAGTTTGTACTCATATCCTTAAGTACTGCTCTGAAACCCTTTCAAGCACCCATGTTAACATACATTTATTGTTTGGGTAAATATATTTTAGAGTGGGTCCAATGAATTTAGACCCAGCTATTAATTTACTCACTCATAACAGCTTAATATCACACTGTATTGTAAGTGTATTGTTAATCTTTCTTTCAACATCATTATTTAAATTAAATTTTATAGTAAAGTTTATCTTACTACTTTACATCTTTACCCACCTTCTTCTACTCCTGGTTTGTGATTCCCTGGTGGATAATTGCATAGATACTTAATCAGAATAGCTTTTATTGCCTAGTTAGTATAAGAGGACCAAATTAGGGATTGAGCCAGATGTTTTGCTGAAAATTATGTGTAGACGAAATTGATTTATAAACAATCTTGTTGTAAATTCAACAAGAACACTCTGATGAAACCTCGTGATGGAAACTTTGATAATGAGAAAAATTTGTGCTAAGAATAGTTAATTCCCAATCTCTGTTTTGAGTTTCTTTCCTTTTCTTTTCTTTTCTTTTTTTTTCTTTTCAAGTGGTGCCCACCTATAGAAAAATATTCCATATCCCCCCCTAGACATTTAGAGGGCAGAAATGTCATGGGACCAAAAGATTTTTAAGACTTTTACAATGTACCTATTTACCCTATTTATGAGTCATTTCCATAATGTTTTAAATATACAGTTGACCCTTGAACAAAATGGAGGTTAAGGGTGCTGACCCTTTAAACAGTCGAAAAATCCATGTATAACTTTTGACTCCCCAAATTTAACTACTAATAGTCTAATGTTGACCAGACGCCTTACCAATCACATAGCGTCTATTAATGCATATTTTGCATGTTATATGTATCATGTACTGTATTCTTACAATAAAATAAGCTAGAGAAAAGAAAATGTTATAAGAAAATCATAAGGAAGAGAAAACACATTTACAGTGTTTATTTTAAAAATCCAAGTACAAATGGACCCAAGTATGAATAACCCCCGTGTTAGTCAAGTGTCAACTGTATATCTCAACACAATGGGAGGGCAGAAGGGATGCTTCCTGGAAGAGGAAGAGGAAGGGTAAACCCTGGAAACAAATTCCAGAACCAAAACTGGAGGGAGGAGGTGGAGGGGAGTGGGCTCAGAGGGGAAGAGTATCTCCCTCGGGTCCCCCAAAGCTCTGAGCCACTCTCTCCATAGCACCCCATTCCCAGGGGAGTCCTATGGCCTCCCTGCACTTACAAAGCACTAGGTCTCTGGTCTTCTTCTGTGGTCAAAGGTCATAAAGTGGCCTTTACACCATATTTTAATCAGAAGTGTTGCATTAAAAACAACAGCTGGGCCATAACTGGTTTGGCTCAGTGGATAGAGCGTCGGCCTGCGGACTGGGGGGTCCCAGGTTTGATTCCGGTCAGGGGCATGTACCTTGGTTGTGGGCACATCCCCAGTGGGGGGTGTGCAGGAGGCAGCTGATTGATGTTTCTCTCTCATTGATGTTTCTAACTCTCTATCCCTCTCCCTTCCTCTCTGTAAAAAATCAATAAAATATATTTTAAAAAATTAATTTGGCATTTGGTTCAAGATGGGATGACCTTACTGTATTTGTATAGAAATACAAATATCATGAGATAGGAAACGGAAAGACAATGGGGAGTGTCAGCAATGGGAGAGAGAATATTAAAATTTCTGGAAAGCTGAATATTGGTAGAGGAATTTTGGCTCCATGGCTATCAGAGCTACTAAGTGAGGATATATACTACTTCTGTTATATACACATATTTGAATGAATACATATTTGAGTACATAGCTGAACTGAATTATAATAAGATGCTCTCAGTTTCAAATATAACCATAATTGTTAATATTTATTAACATAATTGTTAATAATAATATTAACTCTATATTAAAATTGTTTTAATAATTTTGTTTACTATAAAGGATTTCATATATATAAGAAATCAATTTAACCATCACAGCAACCCTACAAAGTAATTACTATCAATATCTTCATTCTACCTATAATAAAGCAAAAGAATATGTAGTTTAAATGACTTGCCAAAAGTCACTCAGTAAGTAGGTGAATACACCATGATTTGAACTCAATTTGACTTTCTCTAGAATATGAGTTATTGACCACTATTCTGAGTTGTCTGTGCAAAGCCATGAAAAACAGAAGCTATAAGAGTTCTGAATTGTAAGGTTTAACTGAATTTTGAATTGTAATGTTTAACTCATACTAAAAATATTCATAATTTTTATATTTCTGGACTAAGCTGTCTGTTTAGAAACATGAGACACATCACAAAGATCCTAAAACACATACTATAGAGAATTAATTCTTCTACTGTGTGATAATATTAAAAAATCCAATAGCATAAAGATTTTCACACATCACCACACAGTTGGAAAACACACATACACATGCACATATATAATAATACTAGAGGCTCATACCACAAAAATTTGTGCACTTGGCAGGGTCCCTCGGCCCAGCCTGTGCCCTATCGCAGTCTGAGACCCCTCAGGAGATGTCCACCTGCTGGCTTAGGCTGGCTCCCAGGAAGATGGGGCCTAAGCTGGCAGTCAGACATCCCTCTGGCAGCCCAGGAGCCTTTGGAGGATGTCCACTTGCCAGCGGGGAGCAGGCCTAAGCTGCAGTTGGACATCCTTAGCACTGCTGAAGGAGGCGGGAGAGGCTCCACCACCACCGCTGTGCTGGCAGCTAATAGTCTGGTTTGTGGCTGAGCAGAGCTCCCCCTGTGGTAGCTCACTGGCCACCAGGGGGCAGCTCCTGCATTGAGCGTCTGCCCCCTGGTGGTCAGTGTGTGTCATAGTGACCAGTCATTCCCAGTCATTCTGCTGTTAGGGTCAAATAGCACATTACCCTTTTATTATATAGGATTGCATATGCATATACTAGCTGCATACACATATAAAAACAGTAAAGAAAAAAATAATGAACTAAGCATTAAACTTGAGAAGTCAGAAAATACTGAACCAATAAGGAAATAGAAAAATGAAAATAGATATTAAAACACAAAAATCAATGAGCTGTCATGAAAAAATAATAATTGAGCAGATCAAGGAATGCAAAAGCTGGTCTTTAAAAATACTAATAGCAGACATTCAGTAAGATTGAGTATGAAAAATAAGAATTAATAGAAACACAATATTGGAGATAAAAATGGAGCATAAGTACAGTAAAATTATAAAATTGTCTGCCATACATAATATAGATGAAATTCTAGAAAAGATAAATTAACGAAATTAATCCATGAAGAAATAAAAAGGGTAAATATATCAGTAAACATTAAACATTATTTTTTGTTATATCTATTTGCAAAAAAGTTAATATCAGTAAACATTAAACATTATTTTTTGTTATATCTACTTGAAAAAAAGTTAACAGACATAAATAAATAAATAACTATCTTACAAAACCTATAAGAAAGTGATGAGCTTAACTTTATATAAATATTACCATATAATAAAAATAGAAGTAACCACTTTAAATTATTTTATGGGACTAGTACAAAACTGATATAAAACTAGAGAAAGTGGAGGCAAAGTTAGAAAAACATAGGCTGATTCTCAAGAACATTGATGTAAAGACTCTAAATAAGTTGTTAGCAAAACAAATCCAGCCACATTTTCTTAATAATAATTTTTAGCCTGTTAGTATTTGCTCTGGGAATACTATAATTATAGTTGAATAACAGAAATATTTATGCTTGCATTACTCAAATTAAGAGATTAAAGAAAAAAACTATATTTTAGGAAGTTTAGGAAAGCATTTAATAATATTCATAATTCAGTAGTGATTTAAAGTGAAACCTTAGATAAATGGGAAGAAAAGCAATTCCTGAATTAACAGCATGTACCTAAGAAAAGCTTAATAGTAAAATTAGAATAGAGAAAAAACAATATGAGAGAATACAGGGTGTCCCTCCAAAATATATATTAACACCTGATAGCTGAATTTTGAAAATGAAATGTATTTTAATAAAAATTGCCTTTATAATTATTCAAAGTATGTGTACACATTTTTTGGGGAAAAAAAATATATATCCTTATTGTCATAATAATAAAAGGCCAAGAGGCATCACAACTGAAATGACCAAACAACCGGTCACCATGACGGGACCCCCCCCCCCCCCCCCCC